TTTCTTTCTTTCTTTCTTTTTTTCAACTGCTTTGCGCAAAAAAAAAAAAAGTATTTTATTAGCCTTATTACAAAAGGAACTCTAGCTTTTTCCATACTTTTCTAACAATTTCCTACTGATGTGTAAAGAATGAGATGAAAATGTTTTTGTGCTAATCAGTAGTTCACAGAAATACTTATTTCACACAGAGCAACTTGGGTTACTGAATCTTCCTAAGTGGGTAGAGAAGAGCTATTAGGGTTCTTTTTCCATGACAGACTAATTTGTATTGCTGAGTTTGAGTTCTTGTAGATTGATAGAATACAGAGGAAGATGAGCACAAGAATAGCATACGAAATAGCATATTGCTTTATTTTGTGGGATGGGGAAGAGACTGTAAACAGTTATTTCAATAGATTTGTATTTTCTGAGAGAGTTTTTCTTCAAATTAAGTACAGTTTAGCAGGCATACTTTAGAGTGGGTTGTAAATGTTTTAAAAAGTAGAGGGAAAATACAAACCACTTCTCTACCCAGAGGAATTTTGCCAGTATTGCCAATCTTGTTGCAAGGAGGATTCTGCTTAAATAGGTATTATGTCAGCATCAGGAAAAGAATATAGAAAAAGAATGAGCTTAATGATCCTGCTTATGAGACCTGCAGCATATGATCTCAACTAAGATAAGATAGTCAAAGGCAATGATATTTATTGTAGGGTGAAACTGTAAGGGGTTTTGTGTTTATAGAAGCTTTGATGCCCAAAGATATGATGGTGCATATTGTCCTGTAATATAATGTATTATAGTAGACGCACTCATTAATTTATGCTTTTTGAAGTTTGAAGAGTATTTTAATAAAACTTGCTTTTAACTTAGTTTGGTCTGGTTTTTCTTTGAGGCTTTTTTACTTTAGCTTCTCATACAGACTACTGTATATGTATTTCAGTCTCATGAAGCAAAGGAAAAAACAATTGTCATCCTAGTGCATAATAGGAACAACTTGAACACCCACATACAATATATGCAATAGCTTTCCCTGAGTCCCCTCTAATAATTCAACATGTGGTTTTTTTTGTATTGTTTTTTTGCTTTGTTTGGTTTTATGCAAGATTTACAGCAAGCTATGGAATCGCTAATCTTTTTTTTTTTTTATGAGACAACCTGAAGTATGCTACACACAAGTTCAGAACATTTCATTTAGCAAAATGCATTGTCAGTTTTTATTATGTATTAGACTATATAAAGGGATAGGTATAGAGCAAATTTAGACTTAATTTGTAAGTTTTTCCTAAGAAATCTTGCACTTCACTTGAATTTGTATAGCACTTGGAGATTTTCTTTAACAGAACTTGATCATTCCTTTGGGGGAAAACTAGTGAAGAACACTTTGTTTGAGGAGTTGATTGTTTGCTTGTTTTTAATATCTTAAAAACTAAAGATACCTATAAACACTCGCATTTCCTCCTCAGGGGGTTTAAATTCCAGAAATAAACGTTCTGTAGTACTATAGCTCACTGTCTTTGTCATCTTATCTTTAGGGAAAGTCAAACAGAAAATGAGGACCTCAGGTAACAGCCAAGTTGTCTAATACTAACAGCCACTTCGTGTGTAAACTGAAAAGTTCACAATATAAAGTGCAATTAAAACAGCATAAGAATGGTCATCAAATACAGTAGCTAAAAATGTATGGTTGCAGTTTGATACCTTTTACATTAAAGTACAAAATGATAATTAGGGGGAAATATTTGCTAACAATTTCACCTCAGACACAGTCTTTAATTTGACTTGATCTTTTCAGCTTGTTTCCATAAATTTAGAATATATCTTCTGTATCAAATAACTCAAATGCTTGTGCCACATTTACTAAAACTAAGTAAGTTATTCAGTGCACATGTAGCATATTGCAACTTGCTTTTCAAGTGGGAACTCTGTGTTGAATATTACAAAGTACCTTAAATTTGCTTTGCAAGGTTTAAATAATTTTTACATATGGAGGAAAAGAATTATTTTATCCTTTTTTGACACAATACAATATGGTTGCTACTTCTATTTACTATAGTCCATTGTTTATCATGAAAATTATTGTTTAATCTTAAAATATGTATGTGTTTCTGGCGGTATTATTGGATATTTTTTTTCCCTTTTGTTATTTATCTCAGCAAGAAAGATGAACAGTGTTGCAACACTTGGCTTTTCACAAAATGAATTGTTTCAGTGAGGAATAGAATTGAAATCCTGTTCAAAAATATAAAACGAAAATAAATAAACAACAACCAGGAGATTTAAAATTGAAGGCATGTCTAAATTCAACAAGAGCTTTCTAAAGCACAGGAATATTTGAGGCATTGCTTGTCTCCTGGGAGTATTTTGTGGTGTCACAATATGTGAGTGACAGATTATTAAAACAATAAATATTCTAGTAAAATAAATTCAGAACTAAAGTAGTATAGGAGTGATGTTGTTGCTGTGATCATCCAAAAATTCTATAAGAGGCAAGGATTTCTTAAGGTGGTATCTGTTATTAGACCAACTGTATAGTTGATATACAGTTAGACTAAGGGGATTTCTAGAAAACAAACTGGATATTAAAACCATGTGTTATGGCCCTCTGGTGGTCATTACTATATCAGTTATTTTAATAAAAATAAGTGTATTTTTTCTTCCTTTTTTTTAACTACTTTACCTTTCTTTCCTAAATGTTCCAGCATATAACTTTCAAACTAAAATTACAAACAAGCAACTAATTTTTTTATCTAGTATTTTTAAATCATCTCTCATGTTACCTCTTGCTAACTGTTTTTCTGTCAGCTGATGAATGTATAGGAGGTCTCATCTTCATGTAAACCAGACAGCTAATTGTTTATTGGCATACCAAATTAATCAAAGTATGTGCGCTACCCCAGTGCCCTAATAGAAGGCTACCTCCAGCCTTAATAGAAGTCCATCTTCTGCTTCCCTAAAAGCTCTTCAGTATGTTTCCATATAACTTATTTATCTTCTCTTTTCCCACATCACCTTCTCAAATAAATTGGAAGATACTTTGCTCACTGACTTCAGTGTTATAATTA